GTTTACATTTCATTATTGTAAAGAGATAATCATTAAGGAAAGCCAATTTTATACCAACTCCTTACTAATATATAGATTGTCAGTTGGTCTGACAGTCAACATTATTAATGAAGCCTCATAGCATAAAGGTCAGAGAACATATATTTAATGCCATCATTGTATATTTTAATGATAAAGGTCTATAAGCAAAATCAGATCTAGCGAAAACTTACAAAGCCTTACAAACACATTTTTTTTTACATTTAACATTATGTGAAGAGCTGATGAATAATTTGTTTTCTACCATAAATCTCAGTATTCTTTTTTATAATAACAGAACCTGTAACCAGGGTGAGTCACCAAAGCTGTGAGGTATTAGCCTCAGAGCATAGGTAAAAGGCCTCATCTATGGTGGGCCAGTACCCTACCCAGAGAAAGCACATGTTTTTCATTGTGGTTAAAAGACATGGGGATTAAAGTGTAGCGCAGCCCCAGCCACAGCGATACACCCCATGGTGGGATCACAGTCCTTCTTGGTCTTTGAGCAGTGCTGATGCAGCCTAGTTGGAGGTTTGGCTGGGTGCAGGGAGAAGGCATGGTCAAATCCTCCATAGGTTGGTACTATGAGGCCAAAAGGAGAGATCATTCTTTGTTTTTTTTAGGATACAAGAAAGAAAAGCAGTCCATAGAAGTGCCTGATAGAAGCGGTAAGACCAATAAACTGGATATTGGTTGTAGAGTATAACTCTAAAACTGTCGCAGAAAAGAATGGTCATCAAAGCTAACATCAAATCCCAAAGAGTGGATGGGGAAAAACAAAGACTGTGGTAAGGCTTGAAAGAAAAAAAAAAAGCAGCAACATGGCAAATGTTGAGGCTTCTGAACGCATGACTTTCACCTCAGTGCCTCCAGGTCAAATGGGCCGCATTCAGGTACCACAGGGGATAGTTAATGCAGGAGACTGTGACTGTGTAGCCAATTAATGGACACTTTCTAAAGGCAAAAAGCGTGAAGGACATTGAGGAAGATATGCATAGTGGAGCATATCTGCGCTTACCAAAAAAATGCCAATTAAGCAACGCCACATGAAGTTCAGCTATGACTGCATCGGCGACAGAGCTTTTACATGAGCAGTGAGCAAAACCACTTTGTGTACAGGGCGAGGAAGGATGTAGAGGGAGGGCTGAACATTCATTTTGTCAGTCCCACCCAGCAATACTATCCACTGCTGAGTGGTTTGAGGGGACCGAAGTATTTAATGGTCTGCTAAATGTCGTAAAGCCTGTTAAAAATGAAGAAATTAACAGTTATTAAGATACTGAATACTTAAATATACTTATATTTTGGAGGATAAATTGGTTAAAAAGATTTTAAGATAAATCATTTTAATCCGCTTTCGAATTTGTGACATATGTAGACAGGAAAACCTTACTTAAAAATGAGTTACTCTAGATTCCTACCCAGACTAGCTTAACCTGAGCATCCAAGAAAATTAGGAACCTCCATTCTTAACCTTTTGGCCTCACATAAACTAAGATAATTACATGTTTTTCATCTGTCAGTGCTGCAGCACTAGTGTATCCCCTTCTCTGTGTGTTTGTGGGAAGAATTGCACAGTGGGGATTGCGTGCAGGGCGTCTGAGCAGATTTGCTGGACTTTCTCACCCACAAACACACTGTGCGGCTGACAGAGGACGGCATGTTAATGAGTGTGCATGAGGTTGTGTTTTGAAACTGGAAGGAGATTTACGAACTGATTGGAATCAGCTCTGCAAAGGTCATGCTAAACGAGTTCATGCAGCTAAGCAAATGCAGTTCCGTCTTCAATCCAGGTGACTCAAAGCCAGTAGCTGCTCTCCACGCTGGTACCACTCAGACTAATCATCCCTCCTTCATGACATCATAAGTTTCCAAATCCAGTGACGCCATACTGACATTTGGTCTCTTTGATTAATTGGTTCCTACGGGGCTCTTGGAGTATTTCCGACCAAAAACCCTAAAAAACACACTTCTTAAGCACTGATTTGTCAGATCTAAACACTCCTATAGCCTCAGGAAAACCACACTACAAAATGACCTAACATAAAACGTATAAGTCAGTGTGGCTGAGTTTTCTTGAACCTGGTCAAAGCTTTAAATAGGATGTCATTACAGGGTGTATCTATCAAAGTACCCTGAAAACAAAAAACTTACAGTAAAAAAATGACATAAACAAGAACACATGCATCAAAGCACATATTTAGATCTACGCCTCTGCACATTTCTAAAATGTGTTGATTAAGAAGGCTCCCCAATATTCCCAAGTAAAATAAAAAGTCTGCAATTGTGGAAAAAGGTAAAATGGGAGAAAAACATGTAATCCAGCTAATCCTGCAAGGATTAGGACCAGGCGAATATCAGTAATAATAAACAAATGACTAACATTCTCAGCCTGTGTGGTTTCAAGCCCCAGGGCTTCAGCTAGAACCCAGCAAGATCTGGATCCAATCCCTGCTGTTTATCAGTGCACGTAGTGGCCATTTGTGAAACCTCTGTGATAAACGCTTGAGGGACAAACAGAAAATGGCTAACAGAGCAGCCGAACCAAATCGCTCCTCCAAGTTGAGTTGATAGATCAGACCTCAAAGACCACAGCCTGATATTCTGGCTATGTTCTTACCACCATATTTTTCACAGTGACACAGCTTTCTATTAGGCTTTTTACTATTTTCTGATGATTTGACTTAATGTTCAACATGTTTTTGTGACGAAAGTACTATAATTTTTCAGCCAACACTTAGGCTGATTAATTTAGCTTTACAACAAGCAAAACTGAGCAAATAAACAAACAAAGGAAGTGGACAGAGTTAAATCTGTTTATTCCAAAAAGGAGTGCACCGAAATTACAAACACTTTTTTCTAATTCGCTGTAAATACATGTCTGATTTCAATAGTAGTGCATCAGTTAATCTGTCAAGATCTGGAATGATAAGGAGGTAAAACAATTACAAAAATTTTCCGAGTACTAAAGGAATGAAAAATAATCTTAAGCCTTTATTGAGCCCTCTTGGATTCAATATGTTTGAGGGTTACAGATATGCTTTGATTCATAAATGGGCTTAAACTTCAAATTCTTTAATTTTACATCAAAAGTACTTGCTTAAATAAGAAACCTGCAGCATCCTCTCGCTTTTATGGTTTATACTCATATAAATAAAATTAAATATAATATCTAATTTCAAAAGTAAAATTACAAAAATGTGCCTGTAATTTAATTAAGTTAAGCAAGAATGGGGAAGTAAGATCTAAAAAATATAACATAGATCTGTATCAAGCAGGAACAGTCAGAATGTTGCATCTCTAAGTTTAGAGCGTTTTTATAATAAATTTACAAAAAAAAGAATAAAAGTTTGTTTTCTGTTGACAAATAAACAGATAAAACTTTATGGAAAAATTTTTACTTCAGATATCAGGATCCCTAAATCTATTTTCTTGTCTTGTATAATCAGTGCAAAGCTGTACAGTGATTTAAAATGCTCAGTGCATCCTGGCGAGTTCAACAGTTTATTGCAGAAGACAAAAAATGACACTTGCGTTCAAACCTAGGGGTAATTTAGCAGCCAGTTAACCTAAAAATGCTTTATTAGAAATGTATGAGAATGCCGCCGAACCCTAAGAGGAGCTATGAAATAATTTGGGATACCAAGCAACACCCACACCTAAGTGTCTAGAGCAGGGATGCTTAGGTACAGTCCTAAAGAGCAACTACTATCCTGCAACTTTAACACACCTGAATCAAATGAATGGCTTGTTACGATGCAACTGCTGGGCTAAATGAGTGGATTGAGCCTTTCGATTCAGGTGTGTTAGAGAAGAGATGCATCTAAAAGTTTGAGGATGGTAGCTCTTGAGGACTGGACTTGAGCACCCCTGGTCTAGAGGCAAGGACCCTCCTTCTGTGAGGCAGCATTTCTAACAATTTCTTTACAATCCAACCCGACACAGGAACCAATCTGTTTTTTAAGACTCTTATTTCTGAATGCCAACATAAAACAGCAAACCTGTTGTGTTTATTCACATTGTATTGATTGCTTACCTATGTGTCACCATGGAGTTATTGCAAAAGAATCCTTGATGAATAACGTGATCAACCATAAATTCCCTCAAGGAGTAACAGGGTTGCTTAATTGCTCTGTGCTATAAAACTGCAGATCAAAGGTATAGAAGCGAAAGCAGGTTGTATTGTTTTATATATATTGTAAAACTGCTTCCACCGGTAATGTAGACTCATTAGATCTGTTGTATATGACATCAAAGGAAGTATTTTGACTAACTGGCTGAATCCTCAGAAGATCTAATATTTAAAAAAACAGTAAGTGCATGTAGAGCACAATTGTAATTTGTGCTGTTTGCTATTCAATGACCTTGATTCAAGGTAAGGAAATTATTACATCTTACTTTCTCTGTCTGCATCACCACAAACCTTTACCTGCTGTGCTCAGCGACTCACAAAGTCTGAATTACTCTTCTGTCCCAAAGCAATTCCCTGGCTGGCACAAAAGCCATCTGGGGTGCGTCTGAGAGCTTAAGCAACAAAATAACTCTTTCAAGCAGAACTCTGCATGGTTCTGACTGCAGGGCGTTGAGGTTGCCACTACCTAGACTCCAACTGTACCTCCTCCTCCTCTTTTACCCCTCTAATCCGGGCCTACATGACTGACTCCAAATGAAAGCCCCACACGCCAAAGGTGGGAACCAGAAGCACTGTCAGATATATATAAAAAGACCACCTGCTCATCAAACTAAATTACATTCACAATTGCGAAAATAGAGAAAGGGCAGAAGGGGGGAAATGAGAAAAATAAAAGGAAAGACAAGTCACTAGCCTCCCTCTGTGATCTCAGCAGACAAAAGAACAAATTGCATGTCTGCGTCATGATTCTGAGGCTCAAAATTGGCATAGGAATCCACTCAGTACTACTCGCATGTGTACATGTTGATATATATTCCCACCTGACAGTGGAATAGGTGCACAGTCTTACCTTTCAGCCTTTCATCTTGGCTTCTTTTGTTTTCCATGACACTTGTATGTCCATTCTCTTTCCTCTATTGAGTTGAATTGGCTGTTATTATTCCAAACAGCATTATCTTTATTAATGCCACAGGTCTCAGGACTGTGCACTTGCCGGCAGCCGGGTCTGGATGGAGCGCAGTCCAGTCTGGCTAGATAAAAGCCCAGCGGAGAGTGATGTATGCAAGCCAGACAGCTCTGACAGGGCCTTCATCCTTGCTCTTTAAGCTCAGAGAGAGCCAGAGGACCTACAAAGACAAAATTTGACTTTAATCTTCAGATCAGGTGGAAAAATTTGTTCTGAGTCTACCATTACAGAAGGATATCAAAACCACATTAGGTTCACAAACAAGGTGAACAAACATATATTATCATAAGAAAACTTATTTGTGTGAAATAAAGAGGAAAAGTTATACAATACTAGAATAAAATTGAACCGTAAACATAGAGTATTTGAAAGGGATTCCTCCATGTGTGTTGTGGCTGGTATAAACTTGAATGAGGCCCTTTCCCAAAGGCTGTCATGCATGACAAGTTATTTTAAAGGTGGTGTGGAGAGCTGACGTGTGGCCAGGCTGGGGCAGGGCAGGAGCTGGGGGTCTTAGCTTAATACCTCAAGCCCCTCGCTCCAGTGAGGCACACAGAATCAGCTCCTGGCCAGAGTCCGGACACTGATTTATGGGTCTGGGTGATTATGATCAAACCAGCCGTGAGGACCACCCACATGGTGGCATAGGACGACAAACACACACCAAAAAACAGGGAAGCACACAAAAACCCACACACTTTTCTTATCTTCAATGATCATAAAACTGCATATACACTAAAAACATCTGCAGGATGCAAAAACAAAGAAACCCTGTAGACCTATTCTATGAAGCCACTAATGCCAAGTATTAACAACACGAGCAACTGAGTTAGAGTTGTGAATAGGATACATTGGCTAATGTTTCCTCATACCCAACAAGTAAAGTTTACTCAACTGACTTTATCTGCTCCTGCAGAATCAACTTTTTTATAAAGTTATTTCTGCTTAAACAATGTTTAAATTCTAGATGTCTTGTCTGTAAAATCCTGTTTTATGGGTACTGTCCTTCAAAAATTGTGTGATGTTAACCCTGCTTTTCCCAGAGACCAGTTTCTACTACTCTCAGCAGATTTATTTAATTAACTTTTTTTTTTCCCATTCTACCAAAAGTTTTTTTTCCTGATAGAAAATACATTTTTCAGAGGGAGTATCAGTTTTTACCTGAATAGATTTGGGGTTACAGTGGTGTAGGTTGCAGGAGTGGCAATTCAGCTTGCAGTGCAAGATTAATATAGCTATGTTGTTGGTTAAATTTGTATGTACGGGTCACAGTTAAAAAAAAAAATGGAGATCAGAAATGTCTACCAAATGTTTTATCTGTTAATCTTTATACATGAGTTATTACTATGAGTTTTTTTTCTAAAGGTCTTAAAGGAAGGTTTCTATGGAAGTGGAAGGAAACGGGAAACATTTTTTAAAATGATGGCACTGAAGTGACCAAATATTTCCTGACTAGATACATATCTTCCTCTAGTTCACAGCCAGTTATTGAAACATACCTCTCTATAAGTCACCTTTCCTGTCAAGAGCATGTGCAAATACGCTAAGCCAAAGAGGAAAAACCAAGAAAAGCAAATATTTCCCGCTTGCTGGGGCACAACACAACTGAACCTCGAGGCACCAGTCGGATGAGCCGAACAATAACAGTCAATGACAAATCGGACGTGGTGCATTCCTTCAGCAAACATTGATCTCATAAATGGAGACAGGTAGACAAACACTCACCTGCCCTGAGCAAATAAGACACATACACTAACGTATGCATACTTTAAGGCTAGTCAAAAGGTTGACTATGTATGCAATCATAATTACATACATTAAAAATGTAGTCTTTTCATAGTAGAGCAATGCAGTTTCTAGCAAATTAGAGTAAACATTAAATACCATGTGCATGGGTAAAACTGCAAAAGATCTAGTGTTTTCAGAACTTGAAATACATAAAAACTTCTTTACTCCTCTGTACTCAGAAGCAGTTGCATCATCAATCCTTCAGATTTATGTAATTATCCTTTGCTGTCATTTGATTGGGCACTCCAACAGAGAGGTTGAAGAGAAGAGGAAGTTGTGGTGGAATAGCTGGTCGCGATCACATGAAGGGGAAAAGAAAACGACTTGGTTTCTATGGAGATGAGTAAACAGCAGTTTGAGAGAAAGCAAAAGAGAAAAAAAAAGTGTGTAGTGGGATATGTAGGGATGGAGGCAAAGACTGACCTGCAGTAGTTAACAATTCATCCCTGCATCCGGATCTCCAATGATTGGGCAAACATGGAGTGCTACAGAGGCAAATGGGCCCCAAGGGGCTTAGAGAGGGGCATCGCCCTGTTGGTGACACAGTGACAAGCTCCCACTGTTTGGTGAGAGTAAGGGAAAGGGACTGCCGGGGAAGGACAGAGGGAGGGGGCATGATGGGTGGTGGGAGAGTAGCTGAGCAAACACAGTCATTGCAGCCTATAGTACTCAGCTAACAGTGTGGATGACTGAAGCCTTGGACGGTAGAGTAATGGCATGATTTGTGTAAAGATCCCATTTTGAGAATTACAACAATCTTTAAAGTGTACCACAGCAAACATAAACCAATAAATCCAAATCCAGCTCCTTGTGTTAAGGGAAATAGGCAAGAACATTTGGCTACCAGTTGTGCCAACAGAGGGAAAAAAAAAAAAAGTTTTACAGGCCCGAATGGTAATAACAGTATATGTTTCTGGCATACATTCACTTTGTTACGAGAAATTTGCCCATTAGCATTGAGCCATTAAGGGGGGTACAGATCACCTTTGAAAGGATAGCTTTGCCTTTTTGAAGTAAAGTTCCAAAAGGTTATTAAAGGTAAAGACTCCACTGTAGAATAAAGATAATGATATCCTAAGAGCAGCAAAAGGTACAGTTAATAAAAAAGTGCCTTCTGTTTTTCTGATTGCAGTTGTTTAAAACAATAAAAGCTAAAAATGCCTAAAACCTATGGGGTTTTATGTTTTCTTACAGTTGTTTCAGCTTAGATTAGATGTAACTTGTGAATCCACTTTCAGGATCAAGTGTGGAGTAATCTTTGGATCTATCAAGGACACTTTCCTTAGCAGGGAACACATAAAAAAAGGTTATTCTTAGAAAATAACCTACTGACATTGTCACCTAATTTGCATATATTTCAATTTGCAAGTAATTGGAAAACAGGCTGCGGGGCAGAAAAATTATGTTATATACAGAACAACCAATAAGCATATTTCAATTTCAGCTCTCTGTTTTTATGCAGACTTGGGACACAAGACTGAACCAAGACAAGTTCATTATTTTAGTTTTCCACAGAAAATGTTATCCATTTAAGCGCATTTGCTTTTAATTTCTTCTAGACAAGGAAAATTTGACATTTGTATCCTGCTGAGACAAATGGTTAAGCTGTGATTTATTTAGGGCAGAGGTCTTTAACGCAAACCCTCAAGGGCCTCTGTCCTGAAACTTCTAAGATGTGTCCCTTGCCCTACACATCTGAATAAATGGCTGAACTACTTCACTACCATGCAGTCAAGCTATGCAGTACTCACAATGGTGTCAAGTGGTGTTAAATCAGAGATGCACCTGAAAATTGCAGGACGCCTGCCCTCCAAGATGGGACTACTGAGCCTCTTGTGAAGCCGAAGGAGTGGTTTGGAAAGAAGGGAAGACCCACTATAGCAGAGGAATGATGGGTGTTCATGTCAAAATGTGCAGAAGTCTCCAATGACACCAGAATATGTCACTACACTTGTTGGCAGTAGTACATACAAGCTAGAAATATCTTATTATTAAAGATACATAAAGTAACAAAGTTACGAAGTAGGCATCAGTGATTGAAGACTGTAGGTTTAGTTTATTTTTAGATCGTATATTTGCGATGGGCTCACAAAGCCTATAGACTTTGCTATTGTAACTTAGCTAATACGGATGTTGTTTTGATTAAAAAGTGATAAAACAAATGTAAAATTGTTCAGTTTAAGTTGTGTCAAATTACTCTAAATAGCTGAATTGGGCAGTATTTCATACTAGGTAGTCTTCCGCTGGGATTTCTTTACTTTCTCTACAAACTCAATGCAATATGAACGGCTTCCACTAAAACCTTTACAACTATTACGCTCAAGCATTATGATACTCTGAGAAACGAGTAAAAGAAGACAAGCTCTTTATATCCAGTTTTCCAGGTATATTCCATTACCATAACTTTTAAATCATCACTTCACTGAGCTGGGTTACTTCAGGTGAAACAGAGTTAAAGTCTGCAACAGTCAAAGTCAGAAAAACTTTATTGATCCCTGGGTGAAATTGGATAATATGAGGTACAAATTAAAAAAAAGGATTTCAAGTCTGCAGGAGCCGTTTCCAAAACACTGACCACTGAACAGCAGTGTGCAGCGCTGTCCATGACAAATTGGTGAGAGAAAAAACAGATGAGAGACGGATGGATCACATCATCTGGGAAAAAAACACATGAGGCTTCAATACTCTTCTTATACTGTGCCAGACTTTACGTAGTGTTGTAATCGTTCTCGATCAACAGAAGCTGACTTTTTGCAGCTTTATGCACTGTCACAGCTGGGTTTACTCACAAGAGTGGCAACTCAGATCCTGTTATACTTGCCTGGCTAAGTCTAAAGGGTTTTTCAAATGCCACCATTACAGCAGTGCAGTGCCATACGAAGGGTGTGTAAGTATTAGGGGCCTTTTACTGGTTCCTTACTTTCACCCACGTCAGAGCTGTGTGCTAAAGCCTGCCCTTCTATTAGTATGAGAGAGGCTACTCTCAAATATTATCCACCCAATGCATTTAAGACAAAAAAAAAAAAACAGAACAACTACTGTATGTCTGCCAGAGAGGCAGGAAGGGAACAAAAATAAGGAGAGAAATTGGGATTATGATAAAAATAGCAGATGTGAAGAGTCATTTTTCGAAAGGTGTGTCTTTCGGTAAGTTTGGAACAAACTTTTGGCAGTGGTTAGTCTCTAAATTTAGCGATTTTCTAAAATAGAACATGAGTTCAATCTGGCATCGAAAGTTTCTCCTCCCCGTTTATGAGCTCAACAGTGGTGCTATCGTCAGTTATGACGAAATTCTAACCATACAAACAACAAAAAAGACCTCCTCAAATAGTCAGTACATAAGGAAACTGTTCAAATAGAAGGATTCCAGTA